GTACGAATGAAATATTTATATACTTAATTGATTTAAAAAAAAAGGAGAAAGATGAAACGAAGATCGATAAACGTGTTCATTCGCTTACCTGTTTCCAATCAGTCCACACCTGTTCGATGCAATCCTTGATCCTCGGTTTTCGGAGCGTGAGCGCCCAGTACTTCATCAACGAGGTGCAACAGAAACTCAGCAGACCGCATAATTTTAATCTGGTTATAGTGTCTTTCTCTTCGAACGTGATATGCAGAATGCATGGAACGATGGCGAACAATAGCACAAAATTACTAAGTCCAATCGCGAATTTCGGTAAAAATGTTGCCACGCCTTCGAGTACTGCTGGCCAAATGCCGATGGATTTCAGAATCCACTTGCTATATTTCGTCACATAAGCGATGTCTTTCTCGTAGTGTAGGTTTCGCGGTCTGTCATCAATATCATCTTGCATCGAGAGATACATGCTCGCAGACAGTTCGAAAACGACTGTTTACGATTATCCAGTAGCATTGATTGGGAGGTTGTTGAGCTTGCGCTTCTGATGTCGCGTGCGTACATCTCTTGCAGTACTTCGAGATCGATTATTACTCGACAATGGGGGACGTGGGGAAAGTTTGAAATTACAGTGAAACTATAGTCTAACTTTTTGTCCAGATGCGAACGAAAGGAATTGAAGCATAAGTGCACGACGATTAGAATTAACAGCGTTAGAAAAGTACACGCAACATTTGTGTAGTGTATATGTTTATTTTTTTGTATTAAGTAATAATATCTAAATACGTACGTGAGTAATTCGTGAATGAAATATTTTGGAATTTTTCCTCTGTTTCGTTTTATCAGTTAATAGGAAGAAAATATTCCTAAATATCGATGATATTTGTTTTACAATATATTACACAGATAAGATGATTCACGTGGTTGTTATTAGAAGATTGAAAAATATATTATCTTCACTTTAATATTTTAACACAATTATAAAAAATTGTGCCACAATTATGAAAGCAATTGTACATATGTATAAAAACGTTACATGTTACAACATAAAGATAGTGTATTTAATAGCAACGAATATTTTTATATAATTTATTTTTATATAATTTATTTATTATTATAAAGTTAAATGTTGAAAATAATGATTACATAACAGCAGTTCGAAGGAAATTCAAGTACGCGAAGGATGTCTTTAGAACCTACAAAAGTAATATTGTGTAATATTTAAGTGTCAACGGATGAATTGAAATATTTGTGAAAACTTACATTTCCAAAAGTAAGCAAAGATAAATCAACTATTCTACCGGCGCTAATTTTGGCCGGACTATTCGACATGGCAATGATTAAAATCAGGTCCTGAACTGTCTTTGCTGGCAAACGGTACCAATCGATCATGCAACAGGATATTCCGACGTTAGTACTCTGTGGTATGAATAATAAATAACAAACAAAATTTCTGAAAAAAATCCACGTGCAA